CAGAAATATAGACAAATATATACTGCATGAGTAGTGTTATCGATGTTGGATATTATGTATATTCACTAATATATGCTTATAACTCTGTTTCATAACATTGGGTACTGTAAGTGTAATCATAACAGCTTAGGAATAAATATACTTATGTATGTGCAAATATTTGTGTGTGTATGTACATTTTCTATCCTATCCATTTGTATATAATACATATATATAATATATATATAATATATGGCCACTCCTATCCAAGGATGCCTGTTTACTGGGGCAGCTAGCTAATCTCCGTTGCAGACGCACATTCTTCTTCAATTGCTACTCCCATTTCAGTAATTGTTTCAGGTTTCCTGCTGTAAACTTTGTCTTTTAGATACCCCCACAAAAAGAAATCCAAGGGTGTCAAATCTGGTGATCTAGGTGGGTAGTCAACTGTCTCTCTTCTTCCAATCCATCTGTTTTGAATATTTTCATCCATATACATTCTCACATCATGGTAATGTATTATTAACTATTAATATTTAAAGAGTGTATACATTATTTTTGGGGAACCTGTATATATATATATATATATATATATATATATATATATATATATATATATAATATATACACACACACATACATATATATATATATATATATATATATATATATATATATAATTGGCATCTGAAATCTGAATGCCTGATTTTTTATATAGTTTACACACTGAACACAAGAACCAATGGGAACTATGCAATTATATTATCCACCAAGCAGGTGTTAAGGCAGAAATAATGTAGTTACTGTGAATTTTACAAGTATATGAATGTACATACTGCTAATAAGGGTAGGAAAACTGTATTGTGTTTATCTTCCAAATGAGGTTGGTCAAGCAGCCTACTTACTCTGCAAATCTAAAACTTTGTATTTTTACCTGAGAACTTTTTTCTGTCTACTTCATCTATAGTGCCAGGAGACCGCCCTATAATTTTTCATATAGCTTGTATATAATGGTTGTATATAATGTGATAGCTTTTATATAATGCTTGTATATAATGTGACTCCAGCTGTACTGTAATATTTTGTGTATAATTTATATAAGAATAGTGGGATATGCTTTTATAATGCTCCTCGATTTTGTTGATTGATTCCTATTGATAATATTACTGTTTACCATAAATAAAGCTACTAGAATTAAAATTCATTTGGTATTTCACCCTGTGTAATCATCATTTGCCATATATTATGATGCATCTTGTCAAAATATTTTAATGATATGTAATGAAGATAAAATAATACCAGTAAATGTAAAAAATAAATAAAAATAAATATCAATAAACAGAGGATGACAACATAAAGAACATAACTGAAGCATATATAGTATAAATACAGTCATCAGAAATGCATGAATTTTAATCCCTCCAGAAATAATTTACCTGTGTATAGTGCAACCAGTGGCTGCCACTGGAGGACTGCTGGTGTTGCCATCAGCAGCCCACCAGCAGTGGCTTGCATTTAGAGCAATACAATATGGTTATGTTCATAGTTGACATTGTTAAGGGTTGTTTTTTTTTTGGTTTTCTGTTTTTTTTTTTTATAAAAAGGGCTTAAATCTATATAATAACAGATACATTTTCATTTTTTAACTTTCTCTCTGTTACATGCACCTATTTATATCCTGATCTTTATTATCTTTTAAATATGTCTAAAAGAAAATTTTTATGCAAATATCTCAATATCTATCTGTTTTTAAGTACTGATGGTTGAGTTTTCTTTTATCTCATGTTAAAGAATCATAATCAAAAAACTAATGTCCATCTATTTGTGGGTTACCTCAAGGAACAAATCACCTTCATTAAAATGATTAAAAATCAATTATACAAACTGCTTCAACAACTTAGTGGTTCAGTTTCAAATAATGCCTTTCAGATGCAACTGTAATGTAAAGGCTGCATTATGTAAGGAAGAATATAGAGGTTAGTGTAGACTCACCAATGTTTATTGGTAGTTTGAGGTATTTCTGTGGTATTCTGACTTAGTAGCAATGGTACCCAAGTCTAGAAACCAGGGAATTCATCTCATTAAGTCTTTGATGGATGTATAGATATCGCTATTTCAGTAGTAACTGTAGGAATTTTTTTATTTTTGCTGAATCTCAGGTTGAATTTGTTGGCTCAATGGCGCTTACATTTGCTAGGGTCAAAAGTTCCAATGGAAAGCTACCCTCTCTAGTCAACACAAGTTGTTCTTAGCAAACACCTTCATCTGAATCTGGTTTTGGTCAATGCCTTGATTCTTTGTATGAACATAATTCAGTTGATTCTCTGATTGAAGATTCATTTGGTATTTTTATATATGATTAGTCTTTTCATCTTTTTCCTCATTTTATTTGAGAGAGAAATATATAGAAAGAAAATGAAAGATAAGAAAAGAGATAAAGATTTTAAAGGAAAGCAAATACTTTGTTTTAATTTGAATTTTTTCCATTTGTTTGTACTTTTTTATTATTTTTTATTTTTATATTTTATATTTTATTTTATTGGATTCTCCACAGCTCCAAATTAAAATAAAAATGCACCTACACAATAAAGTGAAATTACCATCATCATACACCTTTAAAGAAGAATTCTTTCATTTGGGTTTTATAAAAGTTATATTCTTTTTTGCTTTCATAGATTTTTTTTTCTTATATTTCTTTCTTGTATTTTTCTTTCTTACACCTCTTAGCATTTTATCTAAATCAGCTTCTCATATGATAATCTCTACCAAAGTAATCTAGCATTGTCAGGTTAGTGTAATGGAGATTAATTATATAAATAAATATGATAGATACTAGAGCTGTTGACTTTGATTTTGTAATATTACTAGATTCTAATGCCACCCTTCTATCAACACTTTTTCCTAACTGCTAACCTACTTTTCCCTTTTTCCTCACTGACCATTGGTCCTTTGTACTGCCTCACCCACCAGAGGTCAGTACCAGTCACTTTAGGAATCACAGATGTAAATTAATTAAGTCAGAAAATTTTTTAGCAAGATTTAAGAGAGAAATTTCATTATTATGAAATTATTTTTGTTAACATAATAATCATTCAGCCTTACACAAAAATGGTGGTGTTGAGTCAGACTTAGATTTTTTTTTTTAATCACTTTACCCTAAGCAAGGTGGGAATGCCACTAGTATGCAGGGTGGTTACAGGGAATGAAAGTGAGAGAAAAGACTGCGTATAAGGAAGATTGAGGAAAGGACAAAAGATGAATGAAGTTAAAGAAGATAGAAAATGGTAATTGACATTTCATTTAAATTTTTGAAGATTGAACTTATCAGGGAAGCAAGAAAACAGAAAAGAGTTCCACAGGTGGTAAGTGCAAAAAAGAAAATGTCAGAGTAGATGTGGAAGTTGCATTTAGCTATTTCAACAGTAAATGAATGGATGGAACCTAGAGGCAGATTTATACAAAATATCTGACCTATTCAAATAAGTTCCTGATGATAAAAAATCTATTTGATTATGAGAAAAGCAGCAAATGTTTCTGTTTGCTTTTATATATTTCAGGGAAAAGATTTTGAACAGTAGATACCGGTTAAACATCTCTAGTATCTATCATATTTATTTATATAATTAATCTCCATTACACTAACCTGACAATGCTAGATTACTTTGGTAGAGATTATCATATGAGAAGCTGATTTAGATAAAATGCTAAGAGGTGTAAGAAAGAAAAATACAAGAAAGAAATATAAGAAAAAAAAATCTATGAAAGCAAAAAAGAATATAACTTTTATAAAACCCAAATGAAAGAATTCTTCTTTAAAGGTGTATGATGATGGTAATTTCACTTTATTGTGTAGGTGCATTTTTATTTTAATTTGGAGCTGTGGAGAATCCAATAAAATAAAATATAAAATATAAAAATAAAAAATAATAAAAAAGTACAAACAAATGGAAAAAATTCAAATTAAAACAAAGTATTTGCTTTCCTTTAAAATCTTTATCTCTTTTCTTATCTTTCATTTTCTTTCTTTCTATATTTTTCTCTCTCAAATAAAAAGATGAAAAGACTAACCCCAGCTAAAAAACACTGGATATTGACGGTCAGCAGCTATATAATTTGTTGCAAAAACCTATGAAAAATGAAGTAGGACTCACACATAACTTCCACTATATAAAATAAAATAAGAAAGGAACCAAAAAAGAATTTTTTCGTTGGTGGACTTTGATAACATAAGACTAAATTCTAATTTTTTTGTCCCAACCCCTACCCCTAAAAAAAACCAAAAACATTTGTCTCTGCTACGGCAACTGTAATAGAACAGATTAGAAACAAGGGCTCTTCAATTTTAAACAGTTATTATCATCACTATCATTTGATGATGCTGCTGCTGCTGCTGCTAGCCTTATCTGACCATTCCAGAATTTGCCCAAATTGTGTTCCCAGTAAATTCTTTTGGAGCCATATGCTAAACAAATATATATTATTAGCAAGAGTAAGCATTTTATATTAAGAAGCAAAAATGGATGGAAAGAATTTTGTTTAAAGCGTTCTGTAAAATTCATTCCCTTTACGGAAAGGAACCAATAATGATCGCAGATGAAGAGAATATGCTGAACTTCTATTACATTACCATAATATGGCTTGAAGGAATTAATGATCTTGACTTTGAAAGACAGACAAAATACTTTTGCAGACAATCAAGGTTCCAGTTTTTGTGCTTAGTATTTTTTTTTTACTATTTGTACTGGGCATATGCTCTTGTATTTCTTCCTGAGATACCAGCCATGGCAACCAATGTTCCAGATAACTATTCTATGATCTCTTCTGATATATATATATATATATATATATATATATATATATATATATCAAGGGAGAGAGAAAGAGAAAGAGAGAAGTATGTATATATAATTACATTCTTTAAAATTGTTATATTTATGGAGAACAGAATTTAATATCAGGGTCTTAGCATTTGTAGGTATATCTCTAAATAAGTCCATATATATATATATATATATATATTCATGACTTTATCTATCTATCTATCTATCTATCTATCTATCTATCTATCTATCTATCTTATCTATCTCAGTCTGTTCATATCTATGTATCTATTTCTTTTCAAGCATTTTATTCCAAGCAAGGCAGGAGTGTCCCTAGCATACAGGGAGTTATGGAGAGTGAAAGTGTGAGAAAAGAATAGATGTGTAAGGTAGTGTAAGATGGACTCTGATAAGAAATACCTTCTTGTATGAAACAGTGAACCAATCTTCCTTGCAGTAGATGCAGCTATTGATTCAATGTAGATGTTCCACTTCAAGTCAGTTGAAAACATGAGGCCAAGAAGGCACAGTAGGACACTCTCAGGGAGATGGGCATTAATCATCCTGATGAGGAGCAGGAACATTTCTCTATGGTGGTTAAATGAGAACAGTTTAGTTTTGGAGGCGTTAAAACTTACAAGCCATTTCCTGTCCCCGTCAACCACTGATTGGACGTCATTTTCAAGAGCAGCAGCCAGGTTAACTTTGTCAGTGCTGTTTGGCTTACTTTTGAGATACATTGTTTGTCCGAGAGTAGATCATGAGAGATGCTTAACCACTTCAGCATTGATTAAAGCCTCAAAGACTTTGCTGAAAATCACTAGGAGGGTGGTAGTTAGAGGAGTTAGAAGGTTCTCCAGAGTTCTTAAAGACAGGGACAACAGAGAAGGACTTTCAACAAGCTAGAAAGCAGGAAGCTGTGAGTCAATAATTGTAGGGTTTGGAGAGAACTGGAACCAGCTCAGGAGCACATTTCTTTAAGATGACAGCTGGTATCCCATCACATCCACTTGCCTTATGGGGTCTAATTTAGAAATGATGTTCAAGACCATCCACAAGGTTATGTACACATCGTTCAATATAACCTCAGTTCTAGGGGGGGGAGTCAGGTGAACTACTCCAGAAGAGTTGAGTGTTCTGCTGGAAGAGAATTTACAAGCAAAGCAGTCAGCCTTATCTGCTGTAGATGTTAGGATCTTGAATTGATTGAATAGAGACAGGATTGAGGATTTGCTGTTGTTCAGCACACACTTGGTGGGCTGCCAATAATCTTTAGAACCGAACATGCAAGATGCTATACATTGTTTCATTCTATCAGCAAATAGTAGCTTTACTTCCTTGAGGACATGCTTGCACTCATTATGAGAGACAAAGAGACATCTGTTACAATCAGACATATCACTCTGGTACAGTCAGACCAAGTGATTCCTGTGGGCTATAGTGGCCAAGCAAGCAGGTGAGAACCAAGGAGATGAACGCTGTTTTATTTGGTATTTCCTAGCTGGAATAAAAGCATTAATGCTGGCTTTTATCCAGAAGACCTCAGATGCAAATTTTTGAATGAGATGTTTGAAAACTTTATTCCAAGTGACATTACAAAGGAAATCACAGAAAATGTTCTAGTTTGTTCATTGATAACCAAAAGATATTTTGTTGGTAGAAGGTTCATGTCTGTTGGGGTATGGAAGGAAATGTTTACAGACACTACTACATGTGCAGAGTTGCCAAGGGGGCAGAGCTTTGTCATGTGACAAGAGTCAGGGATAGAGGAAAAAGAGAGATCCAAAAGAGAAGTGTTTCTAACAGGGTTACTGGGGAAACACATAGGAAAGTAAACCATTTGTGTGAGGGATTGAGTGATTGAAAAGTTCAGGGTTTGGATACCAGTGAGGTCAGTAACAGAGTGTTCAAGTGGTATGGTGGCTATTAAAGTCACCATATGTGAATAATGTTTGCAGATGGGTGTAGGGAGATGGCTTTGTCTTTATTATGAGAAATACTGTCTAGCATGCAATAATAGTCTTGAGAGGAAGGTGAACGGTAGAGAAAGAAGAGAGAAGTGACTGAGTTAAGTAGAGAGATATGGAGACACATGTAAGAATGGTTTGGAGATTCAAGAGAGAGTTCCCTAATCAGCAAGATGTTTGCAGACATAAACTCCCAGTCCATGCATGTGGACTTTAGAGTTCTTTCTAAGTAGAGGAAGGTAGCCAGAAATCACGAAATCAGAGGAAGGGAGGAAGGTTAGTTTCAGAGAGAGTTAGGATATTTGGAGACTTTGAAGAGGAACGATTCCACAATGTAGAAGTTGGTATGAATACTATGAATGTTGGAGAAAGAAAGATTAATGGGTTTAGATGTTTTTTGTTGAGCTGGTTTAGGTTTATATCTTTGACTGTTTATAGTCATGATGTGTTATTTTAGTAAGGAAAGGCCTAGGGTAGTAGTAGCAGTTGGCCAACTAATGTAACATTTGCAGGAAAGGAACTGGCACAGACTGTAATATAGTGTGGCTTCAGGGTTGCCCACTGGGGACACTTGCAAGGACACCCATTCATGTGCAATATGGCATTGCAAAACCCCAACATTATGCAACTGTTGATCAAAGCAGCCTCTCAAGATGCTACATAAGAGTTTGGGCTCCTAACTACCAGTTGGGAACAGCAACCAGAAAACTGCCAATCTGGTACCCTCAGAATGAAGAGACATTGCCACCAACCATGGACATTACAAGAAATTCAAGACAGCACCACTATTAAGGCCAGAGAGATGCAAAGGAACAAGGGATGAGCCTCTGCACCTGGTCAAGAGAAAAGGGGGGAGTATGGACCATGTGATAGGATAGGAGGGCCTATCTACTCCAGTTAAAAAAAATATTTATCATTCTTAGTCTGTTCATATCTATCTATCTATCTATCTATCTATCTATCTATCTATCTATCTATCTCAGACTGTTCATATATCTATCTATTTATCTATCTTAGTCTGTTCATCTATCTATCTATCTATCTATCTATCTATCTATCTATCTATCTATCTATCTATCTAGTGCTGTACTGATTTCATTATATATCTATTTCAGGCATAGTCTGCGTATTATCTTTACTTATCTTTCTCTCTCTCTGGTCCTTTCTATCTGTCTATCAGCCTGTCTGTCTGTCATCCCATGTCTTCTCTCTCCCTTAAAAAGAAATATATCACTGTTTTAGAAACTTAAATATATGCCTAATTATTAATTAGTACATGAAACTTTAAGTTACTAATACAATAAGGAAAAAAAAGGATATATTGTTTTAATATATATATATATACATGCACATAACCTTATACAGGGTGCGATGGATAAATTGTCATCTAAATTACACAAGAATGAAAATAACACTGAAATCTCATTTTAACTGATATTTTTACCAAAATTACACAAAAATATTTTAAAATACTAAAGAGTAAATTTATTCAATAAAATCACCATTGGCTTCAATCACGGCCTCTAGATGACTTAGCAAGCTCCTGCATCTCTTCTGAAGTTGGTGAATGCTGCCATAATCCTTGCCTTCACTTCATCTTTGGTATTACGAGTTTTGTTGGTTTCTTGCTCAACTGTGTCCCATACATAATAACCAAGGGGGTTGCAGTCGGGGAAGAGTTAGATGGTCAGATGTAAGGGATGATGTGGTTGCAGAAATTGTCTGACAGCCATGATTGGGATCTCCTGCTTTTGTGATATGTTGCAGAGTCCTGTTGCCAGACATGGCCTTCCAGCTGCCACCCTCTTGACCCAGGGCAGCACTACCTCGTCAAGGCACTTGATGTAGGCCTCCATGTTGAGGCTGAGGCTCTCACCAACAATTACAGGAATTCTTTTCTTAGAATGATCAGAGTGAGTTTTCCAAGCTGTGCTAGCTTTGTAATCACCAGACTCATCCAACTCTTTCTGAATCCTCTGCACTGTCCTCAGATTAAAACCCAAACAATTTGAAATGTTTATATTGAAGCTTCCTGTACCAATGCCAAGCAGTACAAATTTCTAGCAGTGTGAATTACATTGTACTGATCTTTTTCTCACAGCTGGGGCCCAACTGACCCTACTATACTGTGCAGTTGACAAAATAAAAAAAAAAACAATGTGCATGCATGAAATTAAAAATATAAAATGGTGCCAATTTACTCATCACACCCTGTATATATATATATATATATATATATATATATATATATATATATATATATATATATATATTGTTTAAAATTTGCTTTATGTATAAGGGAAAGGGATCAACATCTATATATATTTATTATATATGTGTGACTGTGTGTGCATAAAATTCCAGATATAACTAAAATAGATAGGAGGAAAACTTATCATAAGCAATTTCTTAGCAAACTCTCTCTTATGTTTTAATTTGAAATTGAGATAATATAACATTGATAAAATCTGAACAAGTAAGTGTGCTTTAAAGGCAAATAGAACTTTGATTGATTGTGAAGCTGAGTAGGTAAAGCATGCCAGACCAAATGATGGTTTCCCCTTCAAAGGGGAATGTAGGTTTGAATCCTGCTGGAGGGCACATTTTCTTTAATAAGTTTTCTCAGGTGTGTAGGCCAGTAGATGAAATAAATACTATATCTATCTATATATATATATATATATATATATATATATATATAGATATAGATAGATAGATAGATAGATAGAGAGAGGGAGAGAGAGAGAGAGAGATTGTGTTTTTAATTGACTCTTTTTGAATCTAGATTTGAACTATAAAAAAATAAGGTAGCTTTATTATTTATCTACTAAAATAATAATGTTTACAAGAATGAAAAAATCACACAAGAGAGTTTTGGTATCTGTCTATATTTCTGAGATGAAGTATTATGTACACTATTTACATTATTTGGACTATTGTCCTCATCTTTGTTGTCATATTTATCACAATGTTTTGGGCTGTTGTATGCTCCAGCCTTCTTCAGGTAGTTCAGGTGGAACAGTCTACCCCAGCAATCAAAATAAAGGGTTCTGTTTGACATTCCAACCTCATGAAGAAGGCCAGAGCATACAACAGCCGAAACCTTGTGATAAATATGGCAACAACGATGAGGACAATAGTCTGAATAATGTAAAAAGAGTTTCGTTAAAAGAAAAAGTTTAAATTGTTTTTACTATTGATTGTGCAAAAATTTCATTTTTATAGCCATTGATATATGTGTGGTCACCTCAAGATAAAACAATTAATGACAAACAGACAGAAAATGTGACCCTTATCAATTTTATTCATTGTTATTTTTATTCAGATCTAGATACTTGGTATTTGTTTTATATAACCTTGAAGAAATTATGATCAGTGGAATTTGTAAAAATATCATTCAGAGTATAAAACCAGTTAAAAAAATCCTGAAAACTGTGCTATCACACAGCAACCTCATTTTAAATGAGTTTAAAAATAACTCACTCATTTCTCTCAAGAGGGTTTTGGTGTTTAGTGTTTAGAATTCACAGTCAATTGTTTGATTGCAAAGAACAGAACATGAAGAGAGAGAGAGAGAGAAAGAGAGAGAGAGAAAGTAAAACTAAAAAGAGAAAGAGAAATACACACACACACACAATGCACACATGTTTGTATTTATATTATATATATATATATATATATATATATATATATATATATATATATATATATATATATATATATCATGTTTGTACATTCATGTGTGTATATATATATATATATATATATATATATATAAAAATGAACATTGAAGTCAACACTCAGAGGTGACAGGCTGGACACAATCGTCAGCTCCCCTGATATTTATTTATATTTACATACGCTCTATTTCTGATATTGAGCACTATATATATATATATATATATATATATTCCTTCTTTCATGCAAGCTTCATTAAATATGACAGACAAGGTACTTTGATTAAGTTTTTTTATATAATTTCTATATGATCTTATAATGTTTTCTTTTTAGTAGATAAATTATATAAAAACTGTCCAAATGTTATATATTTTTCAGAGTGCTTTTGGCTTTACATTTAGCTATTTTCAAGGATGAAATATATTAACTGTTAAGTGGAAATAGATTGTATGTATGCATTTAATATTATATAATGTTTCATTTTCAAAACACTGTCAACATATTGTGTCCATGTTCATAACTGATATTATTAAGTGTTATTTCTTTTGTTTTTATTAATAAAGCTTCCATTATTTTTAGCCTTTTTTTTACATGTAGATGATGCTATTATACTTGTATTATCAACAAGTATGTTAAAATAGGGGCCAGTAATTCTTCATGAGTATTTAAATGAGACCTAATTGAGCTATGGTCAGAAAGATGTAGCATGAGTCTTCTTGTTAAACCTGTTGTGGTGTGGCCTATATAAGTGTTTATGAATTTTGATTGGTCAGTAACACAATTCCTTAAGGATGGAATATATTAACTGTTAACTGGAAATGGATTGTTGTATGTATGTACTTATCATTATAGAATGTTTTATTTTCAAAACACAGTCAACATATTGTGTCCATGTTCATTGTTGATATTGTTGAGCGTTGCTTTTTTGTTTTTATTAATATGGCTTCCATTATTTTTAGCCTTTTTTTACATGTAGACGATGCTATTATATTTGTATTATCAACAAGTATGTTTTGAATAGGGTCACTATGAGTAATTAAATGAGACCTAATTGAGCTATGGTCAGAAAGATGTAGCATGAGTCTTCTTGTTAAATATGTTGTGGTGTGGCCTATATAACTGTTTATGAATTTTGATTGGTCAGTAACACAATTCCTTAATGGACATTTAAATTCATAAATAGTATTTGTTCTATTTAATTTTGATCTAAGAAGCGAATTATTATTTTTAACTATAAGATTAGCGGTTTTAAATTTTTTGTAATAAGTAACTAGTCTAAGTTTTTTGCTCTTGTCTACTGATGTTGTGCATTTTTTTCTAATGTTCTTAAGTCTAGTTTAATCTTGTTTGTAATTATCATTCATCTGATTTTTATAAAAAATATTAATGCTATTGTTTATGTTTATATTCTCATTGTTGCTGTTAGCTACCTTAGAGAGAAAAAAGCCAAATATTTATATTTTATATAATTTATCTGCTGAAAAGAAAAAATTATAAGATCATATGTGAAATTATATAAAAAACTTAATCAAAGCATATTTAATGAAGCTTGTATACACAGATCATTGTTCCAAGCCCTTTTAGGCACTCCTTTAGCCATTTTCAAAACAAAACCTTCTTGTCAAAATGTGATGAAAATATTAATTTTACTTTCATTATTTTAAATGAATTTAAGATATCAATATTACAAAGAAAAAAGTAAATACACAAAATTTTAAATTTTAGCTTTCCTAAATTAATTTCATTCAATATTCAAACAATGAAATGTTGGTTTAACAAATACATCATTTGCCTGCCTATAAACAGATCACATATTTGAATCATGGTAAAATTTGTTTAATTTCAAATTTACTTAATAAAAACATAATAACTGTACATATAAAAAAGCAATATAGATAGTAGGTATTAGATGATTGATATTAAAGTACTAGATTGTTTGGAAAACAATACACATTTTTGAGATAGGAAAAAAAAGTAACAAAAATTACACTGATTCATCAATAACAATCTTTCTTTTTTTATAGGAAAAGCATACCATGAAATTAATTTTAATTCT